CGCTCCCGCCCCCCGCCCCCCCTCCCCCCCCCCCCCCATTCCCATCCCGGTCCCCTCAAGCTCTGCTCCCGCCGCCGCCATTGCAGGGGCCGAGTCCGCCCGCTCCCCGCCGCCGTCTGCCCGTTTCCCTGGGAGAAATCCCGGCCAGGACCTGAACGGGAAGGTCCCGGCCGCGCTTCCCGGCCCCCCCCCCCCCCATCCCGGTCCCCTCAAGCTCTGCTCCCGCCGCCGCCATTGCAGGGGCCGAGTCCGCCCGCTCCCCGCCGCCGTCTGCCCGTTTCCCTGGGAGAAATCCCGGCCAGGACCTGAACGGGAAGGTCCCGGCCGCGCTTCCCGGCCCCAACAGCGTCTGCCGAGGCTCCGGCAGCGGGGACACAGCTCCGCCGGCTCTCAAAGCGGTGGTGGCCAGAGCGGCGCCTCAGCCGTACGCGAGAGTGGGGCCAGGCTGAGGGGCAGGGCCCCGAGGGCAGGCCCAATCTGAGCGGGTTGAGATTGGCGGGACCGCGCCCGGGTTGAAAGGTCGGCTGTGATTGGACAGGGCGGAGAAAGGCGGGCCGGGATTGGCAAACTTGGCGTCCCGTGGGTTTCTCGGGCGCGGCAACGAATATTAACCGTACACGAGCATGTCTCTGCTAACAAAGTTGGTTGAACGGATCACTTCCATGCAGCAATGTAATCGATACGCAAATATTCAAGTCTTACTAAATTTCTCAGTGATCTTCATCACTTACTTGTAGTTCTACAGAGAGAGGATAACGGTATGGAGTGCATGGCAGAAGCAAGCATGCACTTATTCTGTGTCACAGTATTAGAACACAATAGGGATAGCATTAAAAAGCTCTTTCCACTGTGATTCCACTGAAAGTTTCTTCATATCTTTTTTGAACTCCAAGCAAACATCACATTCAAGTATCTGATTCTCAACATTGCCATTTCAGGAAAACCACTATGAAACCTGTCAATAAGTGAAGTTCCCCTTTAAGCCATTTACAACACAGCTACTGCAGTTGCCCCCACCTTTTGAAAAACTTGTATGTTAAAATTTAAAACATCAAAAGAAGTCAGACAAAAATAGAATTGCAAAACAACTTTAAAGAAGAAAGTCAAGTGAAGGAATTTAGTATATACTTTGTTCCATATATACAAATAAAGAACTGTGATTCTTAAATACTTGAAGTATGAAAAAAAAATAAGTGAACTATTATGAATAAACAGACATCTTTGAAAATCCATCTTTTAATAGAAAGTGCTTAAATTATATTCTTAAAACAATGCTGTGAGCAGCACAGTAACAGGCTGACCAAGTATCTTGCTGGCTTTTTTTTTTTTTAAATATGCAAAAAACTCAGGGGAAAAAAAAACCTTCTTACATGAACGGAGAAGGAGTAGACAAAATGATAAAGTCATCAGCCAAGGATTTTCCCATTACTATATGCTGCATAGTAGAGAAGTACTCAAACAACTACCCTGCCCCACCTCCCCAGATCTCTCAAAAACGTCTTAGTGCTTTGGATTAAATGATGACCAACTGAATTGATTTTGTCGTCTTGGCAATACCAAATCCAATGTCAGATCTCTTTGTTCTTTTTCTGAATCCACTAGCTGATAACCAAGAATATTTATAGCACCTTTGCAAACTTCCTGTATTTTCTTAACTTTCTGAAAGGAAAGAATGTTTCTCCAGGCCTGTGAAACACTAATTGCATCTCGGGATGTTATTTTGAAGGCTTCTTTTTTTTTCCCTGGTCCCTGTCCATGTGTGATATTATAGATCCAGCTTTTGAGCCTGGGAGTCAAATTAAGATCCGCAAATTTATACATTTCTGAGATTTCTGATAATGGATCTCTTACCAGATCTTCAAAACGGACCATTAAATAGCGATCTTTCAGGAAATTAGGTGGTTTTAGAGTAGCTGTTTCATAAATCTGAACATGACTTCTACAAACCTCTTGCATTACTTTGTATTTGCTATCTTCCACTTTAGTGCCATTGGTACTCAAGACAATTCCATTGTCACGGGCTAATGCTTTCACCGATTGTTCCCGTGACTTAACGACTGCCCTGGGGTCACGGACCAGGTGAATAATTTTGAGATTCAGGGATGGATCAGTGAGGAGGGGGTACAGGACCTTCAAGTCAAAGAATCGAACTTCCTTGATGACAACATGGCTGTAAGTTTTACAGGCTTCCTCCACCTTGCTGAATGGATACCGTCCACAAAGAGTCTTGCATGCCAATTCACTGGTTATGTCAGTACGTTGAAAAGAGTCACAAGCAGGAGCTGAACACAGAGCCCGACTTGCTGCCCACTGGAAAAGATCGGATAAGTTTCTTTTCCAAGGCATGTAAGCATCAAACACAGACATGTCACACAGAAAGACCGACCTGACTAAGTCCCGAACTGCCATGTGTAAGACTTTGGCACTGTTCTGGTACATTGTAACCCACACATGCCATGCAGGTTCCATCAAGTAGAAGACACTGGGGTGCTGGCTGAAAAGCTGACCGACAAAAGAAGATCCTGACCGCCAAGATGAGAGAATAAGTATGTGGACTTGGGATGGTTTCTCCTCAGACTGAGGCATGAAGCTACTGTACCGGGCATACATGAAGAGTAAGAATCCAGTCTGAACTGTAACAAAAATTATAACAACTGTGCTAGGAATCCGAATCCTTGCCATTCTCACCGAGGAAGAGCAATGAAAAAAGCTGAAAAAGAGAAGGGAAATACTGGTGAACCATTGTTCCTGTGGCATAATAACAATACAAGTTAGACAATACAAGCTCTTGCATTAGTAAAACCTTTCTTCAAATGTGCATGTACGTATGTGGCATTAACTGCTTCCTTAATCAGTTGCACTTGGGGATGATCACTGCAGATGACAGCTGTTGGGGAAAAAAAGGAAGTAACGTGTGACAGTAAGATCACTGCAGAAATAAGCAAATAAGTAAAAGTTCAATGTTGAAGAAAACCTTAGGTTGATGCAACTCAACCCTTGGATTAAAAAAAGCCAAAACAAAACTACAAAATACACAAGGCCCTCAACTTGGGCACTGGTAAACATTGCCCTAAAAAAAAAAAGAAGGAAAAAAAAAATTGACTTGCTCAACTCTATTTCTGTTTTAATTTAACATTACAAGGATTTCTATCCCCTAAAAGGAGTGGATACGAGCATTGGTAGCTGTGGGTGCTGAAATAAAAATCATCTTATCTAATGTGAGTGCTGTACCCTACAGTAGCCATAGGGTGCTGTATCAACTGGTGCGTGTCCACAACCGTCTATTTTTGAAACTGCAGAAGATGGATGAAAACTCACATCCTGAAGCCACACCTGGCCACAGATGATAAAATGAAAAAGCTGCTGACACGTATCTTTGGTCTGGAGTGCATACACCCCAAGACTGAATACCCTGAGTTTGCATTCAAGAATTACCAGTTTGGGAGTTAGACTTGTCTGTGTATAACTCCTAGAAAATCTTAGCCATGTCAACCCCAAGTGGATTTCTGCTTTACTTTGCAGTCAAAATTTAAGACACATGCACTCCCCCCCGCAGCTTTTTACTAGAGGTTTTTGGCACCTACCCTTTTGTGCTCTCACTCATGCAGATTCCACTTGCAAGCAGGCAGTAAACGTTAGCAGGCAAGGTTTTAGGAAAGTAAGGCTCCTCATGTATGCAGATCATCTCAGAAGTTCTACATATGTATTTGTTATCTAGCTACATTTACAATTTGCAATAACAATTTTTTTCTTGGTACAGTGAAAGATACATTTTTCAACACACTGAACTCTTGAAAGAAAATCATGCAGACTACTAAACATAGATACATATTCATTGATATAATAAATTGAATTGAATTAAATGATCACCCATTTCAAAACCTTTATGTACACTGCATATTAAAAATGTGCAACTCTGCTTCAAAATTCTGTAGCAGCAAAAGTATACAGGAGTTCAACAAATAATTACATTTATTTAAAGTAAGTAATGGAAGAAAAGCCTTCCAAGAACTGTTAAATGCAAAACTGAGGCTACAGCCCATGTCTTAGCAATTCCCTAAACTGTGGATAGCCCATGGTATATGCCTGTATTGCAATGACACACTACGAGAAACAAGGCTTAATGTATTAATTCTTCCTTAGCAGTCCACTACCTGCTACTCTCAGGCACAAGAGCAGATAGATAAATCCTTAGTTTAATTCAGCTTGGCCACTCTTCATAGATAAAATCTGCCTTGTTCAAAGACTGAATTTTTCATATTACATCTCCAGAAGCATCTATAAGTTTCTCTGTGCTGTGAGGATCACCAGCAATCCAGCAGCCTGCACTGACACTTCACCAAACAGAGGGGATGAAAGAACCTAAGCTGAAGTCAAAGAACAGTTGCATTTGATAATTAAAAGATTTTTCTTGTAACAGACTCTTTGCCTGAAAGTCAGCCAGACACAGCTATCTCCCATCTTTTTCTTGAGTGCAAAACATGAATCATTATCTACACTAGGACTGCATTCTGCAGCTCCTTATTATGTAGCTTTCAGAGACTCAATTACGCTTTTTGAAGAATTAATGTGTTTCTACTCTAGCTACGCAACTGTTGTTCCACTCTAATCATGCTGCAGAGCTGCAACACTAACTGCTCTTTACATGTTATTAGCAGAGTGTGGGAGACTGAGGAATAAAAGGCAAAAGCTGCTTTTAACATTCACTTTTGCCTTGACTCTCTCAGACCTCTCCTTGCTCCAGTTCCCACGCCAAGGAGTGTTGCAGACAACACTGTGCCAATGAAAAAACAGATAACGTGAGTATTAGTCCACAATATGTGTCTGAACTAATCAGACTCAAGCACTACAAATAACATCAAATGACTATATAGCTGAAGTATTTCCCTATACTTCAATATGATATAAACTTCAAAAAAAAAAGTGTGATACCAAAGTAAAACACTAAGTAGATACCAGTTTTCTACATTTAAGATTAATTTTCTACCCTTTTGGAAAAGTTGGAGTGTTTCTAAGGAATATACACACATGTAGACACCATCAAAGAAAAAGCATAATTACACAACAAAATACAGCATCTCTAAAAGTATTCTCTTGTGTGGTTTCCAGTGCATAAGGCCAAATACACCACTTTCTCTGTAAACAGTGCCCTTTATTTCTGCACATCTCTTACTGGCCATGTGTAATTCTATTTTCATGTAAACAATCATTTACCATTTGCAATTGCATTCTGTAGTTGAGGTGATTTTAGCCCAGGTTAAACTTGCATTCCTTTAAAATACAATTTTTTTAACCCAACAAGCTCTTCTGTGAATTTTGATAAACTTTAGCTGAGGCAGAAAGCAGCTGTTGAAAAGCCCATAGAATAACATTCTCATAGAGTTGCTGAAGATCTGTCTATGTATACACATATTTATAAATCTACTGAATAGATTACATTATACCGTTGCCTTAGTTGTGGACTTGGCATTGTTGGATTAACAGTTGGACTTCATGATCTTAAAGGTCTTCTCCATCCTAAATGTTTCTACAATTCTAAATGTGGGGGACAGGACCTTGCAATACAGGCTACTTCTGATCCTCTAGCTATTCCACTGCAGGACTCACCAGGTGGTGCTGTTAAGCAAGCTTGCTCTTTCAGCACAGAAAGGCAATATACCGAAACTGCACACCGAAGCTGCAGGCTGAAGCACTAGTCTGTGACTTGCTTTGCATTGCCCTCTTTCTTCTAGTGCCCTCCTCCTCCACCAACAGCTCAGTGGCACCACCTGCTCACCCCAAGCTCCTCTCCGGAAAGCAAAGCTGGGATTTGTTACACCTCCTTTTGTCTTGCTTTGTTCCACATAAGTGCTTCCTCATAATGCACCTGCCTATCTATACCATACCTACCAACTGCAAACACGGCGGGGGGAAAGGAGAATCAGCAGAGGGGCCTGATGTTCTAGCATTACTGCCACTTCAGCTGCCATCTCAGTAACAAAAGCAGACTGACCCCAAGTGGCAAGAGAGCTACAACAAGCAGAAAAACACGCTGTAATGAGCCTCAAGTTGCAGTAGACCGCACTCCCACACCTCTCACATCTCTCAGCTGAGACTCATGAAGTATGGCAACACTCAGTGGCATCACAATATGTGTTTCTGTAAATAATGAATACTCCTTAATATATTTTACTAACAGTTACACTGTTATTCCTTTTCTGTAATAGTAGTGGTACTTCTTTGGTGATACCATTTCTTCAAGGAGAGCTCTGGTAAAGAGAATAATCAGAGGTCTCAAATTCTTGAGGCACAATCATCTCTTTACAGTGCAATGCAAATTTTCAAAATGTGATCTGAAAAACATTAGCTTATATGGTTTAGTTGCCAGTC